GTGATAGTTTTCTCCGGTTACCTCTTTCTTTTAGCGATCGAAACTTTTACAGTGGTCGTATTTTTTTAAAACGGGTAGCAGCATTGAAAAGGTCGTTTCATTTGACATAGAGAAAATCGCCTACAGAAAGCCATTCTTGAGAAAAATCGCATTATTTGCAGGTCTGTTCATTTTGGTTTGCGTAGCTGTACCACGGATTTAAAACTTTGAGTTCAGTAGGCGATGAAAACAAGATGTTGATTGCTATGGCTATCTGGTAATGTCATTATTGTCGTGTTACTTTAGGATTCTCATCACTCCACACATCCAAATTATGAAAATGTACAACTCCGTTCCTTATAAAACAAGATTCGTGGGTACAAAACAATTTTGAAGCAAATTATTATCTTCTGCGAAGCCATTCACCAACAAGCGGCAAAATTGTAAACGTGCGTTGGGATCTAAATTTTCAAGTTTTTGAGCGGGAGTTAAATGAAATGACCGAAGAAGTTGCTTTTTTAAAGTTTTATGAACATCAATTTTACATACATTTAGTTGTCTTGATACACTGCGGTCACTTCATAATTCATCGTCGTGAACATGCAGTCAAACGTTGTCGCTGAAATTTGCGGACACCCTGTATAACAATTATTGTTTTATTTTTGAAAATAATACATGTTTATTTTTTGCTTATAAACTGGTTCAAGTTTAGGGAGTGGTTCCGTTCGTCGAAGCAAAAAAAAATACATTATTTTTATCTTTAAAACGATTAATAAACTGCTATGTCTCAGCAGGTTTTCAGTTAGTGATGTCTACAGTGTATTCCACTTTAAGCAGCACCACCTTATCTGGAAATTCGTGGATTGATTTTCAATTTTCTTTTTTTTATTCGATAAGGTCTCTTTCACAAGAACCGAAATTACCATTAGGGCGAGCCTATGGGTTCTGACAACAGGTTCATTCCTATAGAGCCCAACTCGAAAACAACAAAAGTAGATCGAAGATTCTTAGCTAACGCTAAGGAAGTGAACTATTGAAAAATGATTTATATTGAAATAATTAGAAGAATGGTCGCTGATTTTATACTTAAAACTTAGAAATATATATGTATTATATCATTTAAGAAACGCATAAAAGACAGTAATTTTTCAACATTTAATGTATACAGGGTATCCACATGTCATCAGAATTGTAACTTGGGACATTATTATAAATTTTACTTACTTTTAATAAAATTGAGGATTACCTCTACATTTTACAAAAACCAGATTTCCTAATCAATTCTTTTGATATATTGTAGGAAAAAGACACTTTGTCTACTCAATTTTTCAAAAGTAACAATACAGATTATATTTTGACCAAACAGAATCGTTGAAAATGTCAAATTTCCAAAAAAATATTTTAACGTTGATATCAATGGTTAAGTCGACATAATATGTACACCCAGCACATATTAAATGTTGGAAAAGGATTGGTTATTAATATATTTCTTAACTACTGGTATAGTGTATTATGGAGTCCTATTTATTGTAAGGTTTACAAATTAATTGCCATATTTCTAATAATATCTTAATAGGGGTCACACGTTGACTGACTTAAAACTATATTTTTCTACATTCGAACTGAAACAAAATCTTTTAACAAAAACAACTCAGTTCATAAAATGGAAAATAAAATAGTTTTCTTTACAACTCCACTAGAGGACGTGAAAATACACCCTGTATATTAGACAGGTTTTGGGAACATTTATGCAAAATTAATTATTTTCACGTCCTCTAGTGCCGTTGTAAAGAAAACTATTTTAGTTTCCGTTTTATGAACTGACAATGAGTCGTTAAAAGATTTTGTTTCAGTTCAAACGTAGAAAAATATGGCTTTAAGTGAGTCAACAAAGTTTTAATTATAGGAATAACCTGATATGAACTCTTTTAAACGCGAAATGTTTATAGTTTAGTTTTTAGAACAATATTCTTTAATTTATTTTATCTCCGTGACGGTTTTGCAGAATATTTGTGAAAATGTTCACATTAGTAAACGATAAATATAAAATAGTTATATATATATAGTATTTTAACTCCATTCAGCAACAGTTTTTAAACATTTTTGATGTATTTGAAATGTGAAATAAAATATGATCATATTTAGTGGAATTCTATAAAAGCTAATTGATTAAGATTTCAATTCGTCGAAATCCTTCAGCACACGAAAAATAACAAATATTGATCAAAACATCAAAAATAAAATTAAAATATAATTTTTATATATAGAATAATGAGATAGTGTTTTATATATAGATAGTAGAATGATATATTTTCCAGAATAATATACTTCACAATAGTGTTTTGTTGCTAAAATTATTGTGACACTAATTTTTATTTTCTAATTATTTTTATTTTACAGGTAGGTATATAATAACATAATCCATTCCATCTTACAAACCATATTTATATAACTATAAAAATACTACTATAGGCAAATATGTTATCCAAAGAATTACTATTAAATACATTATATAAAGGGTGTCCCAAAAGTAACGCAGGATTTGAATTACACGCTATTTTCATTCTCAAGAGTGGTCAGCATTGTGTTGTAAACACATTGCGGACAAAATGGATGCGGACGATGGATGAGCTTATGAAAAGTGTGAAAATTAATTACAAAAAAACCACCAGCGTAAACTCTACACCACACTGTCACTCTTTGGGTATACAGTGATCGTTTTTTAACAACCCCAGAATTGTTTCTGCCCCAAATTCGACAGTTTTGCTTGTTCACATACCCACTAAGATAGTGTCTCGTCGCTAAAGTTGATTTTTTTTTAGCAAATTCACCGTCTACTTGTTGATTCTTCAACATTCAATCAACGAATGTCCTGCGCATTAAATGATCGTTTGGTTTCAGTTCCTGTATTGTCTGAATCTTGAATGGAAGCAGATGCAGATCTTTTGTTAAAATCCGTTGCATTGTGCTTTTTGAAATATTTAATTGCAGTGATCGACGGCGCACTGAAGTTACGTGAATTTCCGCCACATTATCACTGACCATGGCAATATTTACGACCAGTACGAGGCCAACCTATATTTTTATTATCTGCAACCGAACTTATTTTATTTAGAGTTGTCTCATTTGGGGCGAAAATTTCACGAGTCTCAGCTACACACTCTCGGTACTTGTAATGAATTTTCACAATCTTCACTCGCTCCTCCGTTGTATAGCACTACATTTTCTAACCGCAACGTGTTTACTACAACATGTGCACAATGCTGCCAACTCTTCGGAATGAAAGTGGCGTACAATTCAAATCCTGCGTTGATTATGGGACACCCTTTATATATTTTTTATTTTGACACTGGCGTATTACAAAAAGTTGTAGTTTCCATTAATATTCCATTGCCTCTGTATACTTTTATCTACTTCCAAACAAAAATAATGTAATAAATTCACGGATTCCATGTTTTATATACACGACAAGTAAAATATTATAGTGTTTAATGTTTTTGTTGTTTTTTAACTGTTTAGTAAGTTTTATTTAATTGTTTGGCAGCTACGGCTGTGTACAATATGCTTTCTTCAATAATGTGCTGAGAACAATCCCAATAAATCTGTTTTATTAATGGTCACCAAACGCTTAGAGAATAGTTTTATAGGTATCCGCAGATTGATACATGGTTTAGGTATTATAAATTACATGAACAGAAGTCCTATAAGATAATTGCAGTATAAACGTTTATAAATCAGCGAAAACCAAATTCTACAGAGCATCTCATAGTTTTGTTGTAACAACATTCTTAGCAAATTTTTATAGGCGATTTTAATGAAATAAATTAACTTTTACAGAATAGTGATGTAACAGCAATAAATGTAACTTAATTAAAATTATAAAGTAACTTAATTGTATACTTCTTTTATACAAGTAGTCCGCTAAGGTTTCACATATTTATAACTTCCTATGTAGTCCAGGAAAATAAGGAAAAAATTAGCGAACCTTTTATTCACAAATTTTTTCATAGAAAAATGTAGGTTTTGAGGTCAGTTTGTATTCTACGGGAAGAAATACTTCCTGTGATAAAAATATGGGTTTCCTTTTAAAAAATCGAGGTTGACCTTGAAATAGCCTTAATAATTGACTTTAAGCTTATTGTATTGTTTATTCACAATTTTATATACAAAAGGTACATGTTGTGTCACAAATATAAATAAAATATAAAAAATATAAAAAGAGGACCGTAAGTGAATATGTAAAATTTATTTAAATGTCAATTTATTGATATACTCTTGAACGATATAAAAACAATTTTTATTTAAGTAGCGCTTGATAAATATCTTAAAAAGTTTAAAATTCATTACGTCAGGTTTGTGTTGAGCGAATCTACTTATTAAAATGTTATAAAGTTTTAAGCCCAAACTATTTTTTAGCAATGTCAATCCTGGATTTCAGCTCAATCAGATCATCAGCATGTCTTGTATTACAATTATGATTTTCATAATTGTGTCTAAGCTCCTTTATGTTACGGTGAATGTTGAGTGAATAACTCTAGTAGGTATATACAAACAGGGTAATGGAAGAATTTTTAGTTCTTTAAATATTGGCTGACAATGAGTACTTGGTGAAGAATTACTGATATTGCGTATAGCCGATTTTTGCAAGCAGAAGACTCTCTTAAACGATGTTGAATTCCCCCAAAATAAAATCCCGTAAGTCAAATAGCCATTTATTAGAAACAAATAAACAAATCTTAGAATATCATGAGGTAATCAATTTTTAAGTTGTCGTAATACGAATATTTGAGAAGATAATTTTGAGCACAAAATATCTACATGTGCTTTCCAATTTAGGTGATCTGACCTCATAACCTACATTTTTCTATAAAGAAATTTTAGAGTACAAAAGTTCGCTTTTCCGTCTTTGTATGCCTAACTTTCCTGGACTAATGAATGATAACCAGCGCCATATAGTTTATCACATCTCTGTTACAACCCAAGAAATTTAACAATAGTTGAATGAAACTAACGAATCTTACCTTGATAAGGAGCGTAGATATTCAGATACAGGCAGTCCTCGTTCTGGTCCTGCAAGTATTTCTTAAGCCTTAAAAAGTACTCCTTCCTGTAGTAAGCCATATTCCTCTCATCCGGGAATTGCTGAGGACAGACCGGACCGAAAGTGTCTGCATACTTGATCCCAAACCACGAAGGAGCACCACCCGGTGGCATGAACCTCAATTCCCCGATGGGTGGCGCTGCATAGGGGATACCCCGATACACTTCCACGAGTGGCAAGTCTCTGTTCATTTTGGGTCCGTGCACTACACCTCGCAGCGTGCCCTGTCTTAAAGTTATGTTCCTTGTGTACACCTTGTGTGACGAGTAGTCACTGTATTTCGAATAGGGAATGGGACTGACGTTTGACACTGTATATAGCGTTATGATGATCGTAACGGACTTGGTTATATAGCACATTTTGGGGTTTATTCCTTTTCGTTTACACAAAAAAAGGTTCAGTATCGTACGACAATCACTGTCGATTTATTACTCGTTTATATTCGAATCGGTCGTTGCAGCTACATTAAAAAAAAAATAGTAAATGAAAATAACGTAGTGATTGAAATACTGTCAAATGAAAGTACTGGCTATTATATCTTTCAGAAGTAGAATTATTTATAACTGAAATTATTTATTATATAATTAAAGAGATTGGAACTTATCTTTTGTCTGGAAATCAAATTTGTGTTAAAAGCTAAATAAAATAAATCAAATTAGAATTAAAACTATGAATTTACCTAATTAATTATTTATTTTATATCACTTTGGAATGGGAGAATTCAAAAACTTGAAATTAATGCGTCGACTTCCAATTTACAACGATATTAACACCTATGTTTAAAAAATTGCATTATACTGGTTGTGTATCCTTAGATGGGTACTGTTCTCTTATTGTTGATTTCTTTAGATAGGTAAAATAATTATTGACACAAGTGCTGCATATCATGGATGCCATTGGTAGTGCTCATATTTGTGACACAAGGTGTTCAAAAAAATTTACATAATGTAAAATTGCTGGAACCTCAAGGAGTAATTGAATACGAAATTTATTTAAAAAACACAACGAATCATCAATCAATGCAGATATAAGATAATGCGTTCGCTACTGCTGTTGCAATTTTTTTAACTCTTTTGTTTTTTGACATATACGGACTTCGGACATTTTTCATTCAAGGCAGAACGGTCAATCAGAATCAGGAGTGTGGGGAGATTTTTTTAATTATTTTTCCGATTCAACGCATCGTTTCTGAGTTATAAGACCTTTTTTTACTGTATCACCTCACACGCCTCTTGTTTCCGAAATTTATTTTCCACATATAGACTTCGGACCTTTAGCATTCAACGCAGAAGGGACAACCAGAACCAGAGGTGTGAGGAGATTTTTTTAATTACTTTTTTCGACTCAACGCACCGTTTCCGAGTTATACGGCCTTTTTACTATATGACAATATTTTTATTTTTTTTTAGAACATTTTTATCAATACCTACATCATACATTTAAGTAAATACAGTAACGCAAAAAACAGATATTGATAAAAAAAGTGGACAAAATAAATCCGTAAGTACGCTTGGCAGCATTGCCAAAGTTGCTGTTTATATGTTGCTAGGATACGCGTAGGAATGCGGGCCGCTGCATTTGATTCTTCCTAAAATTCTGCTGGTGGTGTACTCTATCGACAATTCGGAAATTTAAAGGCTTCTCCAAATAGACGCGATATGGGACGTTAAGCACTGTGATATAGTATTGCGCGATAAATCAATTCCTTGCATTTTAAATGCAAACGTGTGTCTCTTATCAAACTAAAGCGATTATCGCACGATGCGTTGTTATCGCGACAAATAGATCTAACGATACTACGTTCTATACTCCTCTGGGCATAAATCGCGTAGTTGATCACGCGTTTTCTTACATTTACCTGTACATAAACTAATGGACATGGAATCATCCTTAGATGACGAAGAAGTTCTGCTTCTGGTTGCAGTTGATGACGATGAAGAAGCAGATCATCTAAGAGAATCCAGACGTACAAAAGTTTACTATAATTTGACTAAATTTGTTAGAAATTGTATCGAAATAATTTTTTTAGAGTCATAACTTTAATTTATTTTTTGAAGATTGTGGATTCATGACCTAAACGCCTCAAGAGAAGATAAAGGCGTATTTTATACATTAGTTCCTCAGCTAATTAGAGACGAAAAGCGAGTTTATGTTTTTTACTTTTGGATGACAACGTAATGTTTTGTATGAAATTTTGAATAAAATAAGGCAACGTAGTATTTTATTTGTTACCCATACACGCATGCGTAATTGGATGGGAGTACACGATCGTTCATACCACAAACGCACATGTTTGAAAGTTTCTAGGCGATACTGCGTTATCGCGATATCGCTGTAACGCTTGCGATTAGAACGCTCCCTATATCGCCTCTGTTTGGGGAAGCCTTAAAACTGCTAGCCTATTCCAGTAGCGGTCTGGGGCGATAGCTTTTTTGTCTGTGTTTTCACGGTCAAACATCATCGTACTAATTTAAATAAAGGGTCTCCGATTCATCAAATAATTCTTGAATTCTTATTCTGAAATTGAATCCCGCATAGATACCTATGCTCTGTTCTAGTATCACTCAAATTTAAAAAGTGTTACTCTAAATTTTAGGTTTGTAAGGGTATGTTTCATTTGTATATATTGTATAATATTATTTGTTTGCTTCCTGTTCGTTTTAGATATTATATTTTGTGGTATTTATTCGTTTTAAGAATTAATTTATATCTTTGACATACAGGGTGTTTCACTTCGAGTGAATCAAATTTTAACCACAAATAGAACTCAATAAATAGTTCAGAATTGTCTTATAAAGCAAGTGGGATTTTTTACCCCAGCTTCTACGCCAATGAAATATCAAACATTTGGGATTCATTTTTTGATTCCGTGGACAATCCTACATAAAAAAAGTATACCTGTTGAAAATCGGTATAGTGTATCGTTTTACCGCAAATCTCAGTTGAATGGGAGGCCGTTTTTCTGATAAGACTTGATTATTCATCCATTTTTTTTTTTGAATTTGTTATAAGCAGACCAAAGGTTTCGTAAATAATATGATTTTCACAACTGGCTAGTACGGCCCTGTATAGTGAAAACGGTGAGACTTAGACCCTTGCTTTATAAGGCAATTCTGAATTATTTATTGAGTTCTATTTGTGGTTAAAGTTTGATTCACTCGAACTGAAACACCCTGTATCTTTCTTACTTTCTTTTTAGTTTGTAACTTTATCCTGCAATTAGGAATTGCCCGTTGGGTTTTAAATCTAAATAAATAAATAAAAATAAATAAATAAAACCGAAAACAGTAAATCTACCGGACAGTCCGGGTTATAATCAGGGAGTTTTAATAGGTATCAGAATAAATAATTTTAAGGAAAAAGTTTCGTTTGCACATAGATAGTTGAGATATTATCTGAAGTTATTTATTTGTGACCTAGTTTTAATTTTTTTTTATTTTTATGGGTATTTTGCCATCTGTGAAAAAATTTTAAAAAATTGTGAAGTAATCCCTTGGGCCAACTGGATCAATCAAGGGCTATTTTTATGAAAGAAGTTCTGCCTAACAAAAAAATCTCATACCGAAAACAGCAGACAAACAGAAAATACAAAAACACATCACTTATATCGCGCATTTTAAAAACCTGGACATAAACGATCTTTTTTTAACTTAATGGGGCTGCAAACAGATTTCTCCCATTTTGTAACTTGATTTGACCTTCAAAGAACCTTCAAGCTTGATCTCTAGGTCATGGTCAAGGTTATCATCGTATGATCCCATCAACCATAAAACTTTCAACCAGAATCCGTCGTCATAAGTGCTTTCCCGGAAAATATCGGGAAATCTTATTCAGAACCTTAGTTTACCATAAANTAACTTTAATTTATTTTTTGAAGATTGTGGATTCATGACCTAAACGCCTCAAGAGAAGATAAAGGCGTATTTTATACATTAGTTCCTCAGCTAATTAGAAACGAAAAGCGAGTTTATATTTTTTACTTTCGGAACGTAATGTTTTGTATGAAATTTTGAATAAAATAAGGCAACGTAGTATTTTGTTTGTTACCCATACACGCATGCGTAATTGGATGGGAGTACACGATCGTTCATATCACAAACGCACCTGTTTGAAAGTTTCTAGGCGATACTGCGTTATCGCGATATCGCTGTAACGCTTGCGATTAGAATGCTCCCTATATCGCGCCTGTTTGGGGAAGCCTTAAAACTACCGGCCCATTCCAGTAGCGGCACAGAATAAAACAATCAGAATTATAAGTTGGCGAGGAGGGGGTATTCGCGCAGATCGGTGCACGCACCCCCCACTTTTGGTACACGAACAAAGTGGCGTAGTTACAAAAGCATTTTAGCCATTTTATGAGCCTGTTTGTCGTTTGTTATCCCGAGCGTTGAGCATTGGCGTCGTTTTACGTGATTTATTTTGTTGTGGTGTAAATAAATGATTGTTCGAGTGTATATATAATTATTCTATAAGGTACTGTAAAACTAAGGACAAATGAAGTGTTAGAAAATAAAAGACAATATAAAAACTAGGAATTGTGGTGTTGAAAAGAAATATGGCGTTTCCTGATTTTAATTTACTTTTTTAAATGTTAGTTTACAACAATCTGAAAATAAATTAATTTTTTTTTTAGTTAATATAATGTTTTACAATTTAACTGTCGTTTAATGTGATTCGTAAGAAATTAAAGTTATAGTCTTAAATGCAAATACTGTTGGTAGATAAATGTCTTCAGCCCATTCAATGGTAAAGTCCTCTTTCAATTTAATATTTTGTTATGCCGCTTATGTGAGCAAAAAAAATGCAACTTAATTTTTCTCGAAAATGGTATATGCTTCCGAATTTCGAAGTATGCCTTTTTTGTAGTATGCTTTAGAGTTTACAGAACCGTTTAGAAATGTAATTGACTTAACATATTTTTTTGCAATTACCTGTATCGGCGACAATGCTTTTCAGAAATAAACCGTTTGCAAATTATTCTTAACGCACAGTTGATGTTTACTCGTGTACAAATTTTGACATTTTGATCTTTAGCCGATTTATAGATAATTAAGGAAAACCATTTGGAAAGTAACAACTTCAACCCACTGTATCTCTAAAACAGGGCGTCTACGAAAAAAAAAGGTTACATGAACTACCCCCATTATTTTACCAAGAGGAACTTGCACACAAATTTTTTTGAAACGTGAGCGGGACACCCTGTATGTTTGTTTACACAATTCTTTTAATTTTTCATTTTTTGCCTTGTACTTATAAATTATATTAAATTATTTTAACAAATATTGAATATGTAATTATTCAGTAGTTTGATCTTAACTATAAATATTTTTAACATTGAATAATTTCATTAATAGACTGGTTTAACTTAAAAATAATAAATAAATAAGTCTTTTGCATGATTAACCTCATTTTCTGCTGCACATAAATTCCTGGCTTTTTTGTTAGTACATCCCTGTTTAG